TAGAAAGGTGAACTAATTTCCCTGCAGTTAATTTGATCACACTACTCGATCGGGAGATAATTAAGATCAGACCTCGAGCCGTTTTATATGGCAAACGATACCAATGAGTCATGTAAGCTATTTCCCCTACTTGTTTACACTATTAAATTATTTATTCCATAATATGGAAAAGGTATGATAAATGCATATATTTAATACTTTTAATAAAACTTAGACAAGATATAATACACACACACACACACACACACACACACATATAAGAATATATATGTTATACTACAAAATTTTTATTTCATAATTTGTTTACCTGTTCTGTTACCGTTTCGCCAATATAACAAAATATAAAAATGTTGAAAGTCATGGATATATATATAATCATCATACAAGCTATTGTCATTGCCGTCTCTACCGTGTTCCATCCCTGAAAGTGTATCATAATGTTTTATGATAATTTATGCAATTTATATATACAAATATTATTAAAAGTATCATTATTAAAAGTATTATTAAATGTTGAAAAATAATATTATATATAACAAACTGTTGAAAAATAATATAAGGATGCAATGCCACAGTATATCCAGTAACGGCAGTAGATGAAGATCATAGTTCAAAATCGGAGAGCGCATGCAGGAAAAATTACTGTGTGGCGACGTTACTGGCTGTTCATCTCACAGCATCGACATCTAGAATGGACCGCTGATGGCAATGGTGGGGGTAGAAAGACGATTAGAGTGAGAGGCAGGAATAATAAGATCGTTTTTTCTCTGTTTACTGAAGTCTGATTGGTTGTTGTTAATCCACCAACCAATCAGGCTGTTAGAAACAACAGTAAACAGAAAAAGAACGATCTTATTATTCCTACCTCTCACTCTAATCGTCTTTCTACCCCCACCATTGCCATCAGCGGTCCATTCTAGATGTCGATGTCTCACAGCCATAGATTCACATTTAAAATACTCGTGAGTATCATTTATTCTTGTTTAATATTTAATGAACATCACGAATGTAATAATTCTAATAATGATGATAATTTTATCTTACAAGAATAATCAAATCAATTCAATATATGATATTACTTTCTAATTCTGTTCACGATTGCATTTCAAGACTGAAAAATGTCGACTCGCAAAAAGAGTATGCAAAATGGATTTGTACATAAATTCTCACCGAAAGATTTACGCATTAAAATTTGCTTTGACTAAAAATAGGATTTTCATTTACTCGATTAAACTTATTTTCATCAGTCCAATCTCAAATTACAATTATTAACACTTATTTTCTGAAATATGATGCTTCTTTACACCAAAGATATGACGGTTATGTGAATCTCAAATTACAACATCGTGCTTGCTATCGCTTGGTTGTATTGTGGCAATTTTTTCTGTGAGATAATTATTTATTGTATGTGCATCTTTTATTTTGCAATTTATTTAAGTATAAAAAGTGATACAATGTCGGTATGTCTTAATTACACATACACTTTTTTTAATACTTTAGCGTACCGTAATGACACAATATCCGATCATACATAAGTTAAATGTACATCCTAGCAATTCCACAAAACAGATTTGATTTAAAAGTGCTTCCATTTGTGTCACGAAACTGTAAGTAACGTAAATTACAATCATATTTTACGTATATAAACATTTTTTGCAATTATATTATAATATATTAGTAATATACAAGTTTAAAACAGATGACAATTTTATTAATCTAAAATTAATTCCATATACAATTCGAATGGTATATGGAATTAACTTTAGATTAATAAAATTGTCATCTGTTTTAAGATTATATATTATTCGCTATTTTGTGAGTTTAAAACATAACAAGCGTTTAAATTTTAATTCATATTTTATAATATATTATTGAGAGAAGAAAAAAGAGAATCAGATAAGATAAAATTTTGAATTGGCTTAAAGGTCAGAAACATTAAAATATAAAAGATTTTATTTTTTATACATCAAACAGAAATATCAACATTAAATTTATATCGATATTACCTTAATACTCTCAGATGGTGCTCTACAATGATTACCAATCGATGGTGTACCATATCTTGCTGCTTTCGATCGTCCAACTGGTCCAGCCATCTCATCAGTACATTCAACTGGCCACACGCGTGCATCGCAAACACCGCTGCAAGACCGCAGGCGCCGGCCGTGACGGAATTGACGACAATGCTCGAGAGGAGCTGCATAGTTAATGCGATTTCGCCCGCCGGGCTCTTCGTAATATCTACGAACTTACTGTACGTGGGACATAGTAACACACGCACCTTCACGCTCACGTTTCCGATACGTTCGAAATGCGGCGTGGCACCTTGCAATACGGTTTCCGAGAAAACGCCAACATGCATGAAAATTGCGCATAGCCCGGCGACGAAACGGCCGACTTTGGCATACTTCAGCATCACTTGCCGGTCCCCGATCTCCGTCACCGTCCGCCAGTCGGTCCTCATGTGCTCCACGCAACGATGTATATCGCGGCTGCGAAACAGCAGTGAGAAGTAATTCATACCACCCATGCACCAGTGACTTAATGGACCAACAGCTCTTAATTTTTTCTGCACATCGGTCTCTTCGAACAGGATGTTCAGAATACAAGGTATGACCGTGTAGGCTACTAACGAGTAGCAGATGATTACCAGTATTGTTGAAATTACTTTTTCTCTAACTGTTGTCGAGGCTGAACTTGGCCAAGCGCCCACCAGTTTTAGAAGCCAACGATTCAATTGAATACTGTAATCACTCGCGTCCCGTTCTGACATGACAGAGTCATTGACATTCATGATTGCTCACGGAACGCGTGAATGCTACTGAATCGACTTAAACGTATATGGAATTGATAGAAAGTAGCGCCTGCGCCAGCGAGCAACCAGTAATAGTTAGTAACAGGATATTTGTGCGTCTCGTCAGTCGATCGATACTCACGGAGTACGCTACACGTGGTCTCATAAACGGTACCTCATAAAATAAATTTGCTATAACATACATTCGCAAGGACATAAATTTATTGTATAATTATGAAACTTTTATACATAATTCAAGTAGATATGTAAACTGTGTTGTACAAATAATATGTAAACTTCATTGTTGTGTTTCAAATGTTATCCGTCGGGAATATTAAACAGAAGAGAAATTATTTTTTTTTAGAAAAATACCCGTGTAATCTCAAGGAGACACTCTTTTTTATAATTTCTCCTGTAAGAAATATTTATTTTTTTAATATTTAAATTAAGAATAATTTTCTATTTATTATATAAATATAGTTTATGTTTTAATTACATCAGCAAAAATTGCGATTGACAATTGCAATAATCTCCAGATAACCTCTCGATAACGTTACTCTATCGCGCTATTATCAGAGTTATACCCAGAGCATTTTAATGCGGTAATCCGTTTCAATTACTCATATATGCCTTTTTGCCAACTTTTTTACACTAATAAATTAATTAATATAGGTATTCGTAAATTTCTACATAAGCGTTTGTTGTATTTTCAGAAATGGGAGAAAAAGTTAAGAAACAATTCGAGTCACAAAGCTCAAGTCATTAAACGATTTTTTTAACGTAGAATAATTAAATACATTATTCTTAAGCATGAGGCGTCAAATGGCCTGCGGCTCGATGCGATTGACTCCTTCTGTAAAGATGGAATCACACGATGCTCGAATTCATTTCTTGAATGATAACACGCATAGAGTCATGCCTGCTTTGATGTATGCTAGAATACGTTGATGTATTAAGCGCTGTATGCTACATATACATGATTTTTATATTTATGGATTACTTCATAGCTTATTTCCTTGCATGCGCCAATCAAAAGAAACAATTGCTAATTTCATAGTTATTTGTCAAACGTCAAACTGTATGCATCAAATCAAGCATAGCAGCATGCATGCTTACATTGCTTACATCATTCAAGAAATCGTGTGATTCCATCTTAAATCTGGGTTCAAGACGCATATACGTTTTTTCGCGTTTTAAGATTCCAAAATGGTGATTAAGAAAGCTTTTATCACTAATTCGACATTAAACTGTAGGTCCCTCTCAGACTGGGTATTGAACATTAGGCTAACAGTCTAATTAAAAAATAAGTCATTGTCACAAACATTTCATTAGAGGTCCTATACTCGCAGGAGTTACACCGAATCTACAATAGGTGTTTTAAGCCAAGTCGTAAAAAATTGATCAATTACAGTTGAATCCGAGTAGAATAAGCGACTATGATTTACCCATTTCTTATGGCTTAAGACTTAAATCCCTATTGCAAATCCAGACTTAAGGAACTCTCTCTGACGTACTTAAGCATAATAATTCGGGTAACTCTAGTTATTATAAATTTCCTGAGGAATTACCTGTTTCGTGAGAATCTCGCCGTTGTAACAAAATATAAAAATATTAAGTCTTAGATACATACTTACCTTATGATAATATACGATATCATTCGTGCTGCATCAAAATCACACCAATTCTGGAAAATCAGGAATTAGTATTAACATTTTGTAAATAAGAATGTTACAAAGTGTTAATAACATACATTTATATTTTTAGCATACCATAATAGATAAATATGCAAATAAACTATGTATATTTCTATAGTCATAAGAATCATAGTAAATTTATATAGATATTTTTATAATTTTATACTTATTATGACCCAGACGCGATGACCATATTAAAGATCAAAACGTTCGTTTTATCATTTCTTACACTGAGTATAGGTATACTTAGCATTGAAAACAAGCTCGACTAAAATAGCCTTCATTTATTTATTGTTTGAATTTATATCATTAGATCCTTATAGTTTGCTTCAATTTAATTCTTAATAATTTCTTTTATATTATTTTCTGGGGATATAGAAATATAATACATATTCTAGATGTCCTATATTTTATTAATAATTCATATTATTATTTATACATAATATATAAATTTATAGTGATAACTAGAAAATTTGCTAACGCTTTGTACAAAATGGTGTAAATATTATTTTCTAAGAAGCTGTCATAGTCCGAAGCATGTTTAGATATATCATGGAGGATCTTATCACCTAAAACATTTTGAACATATATTTGGCTGTAAAACATAATATACATAGGCGCCGACTATGGCGGTATACATAGGCGCCGACTATGGCGGAAGGGCGGGGGTTGGGCAGACTTTTTACCCCCTCAATAATTTTAGAGGATGCAATGCCCCCTCAATAATTTTTATCTTTTTGTTTTTTAACAAAAGGTTTTTTAACAATTGTAAATAATTTCTGCGATCAAAAAACTGTGAGAAAGCCTCGGCTACATGACATATGCTATACATAACGTTGACGTGGCGAATTAAAAGTGGTGACACTGGCACATTGTCTGCTATCCTAGGGTGCCTTCCAACAAGAGACGGTGTAATGACACGGTGTGATACAGTTCATTACATCATTACATTCTTGTTCTTCGCCAATGTTAAACAAGGATGAGATGATTATTGTGTTGTACTGAGTCGCTTGTTGAAGCGTGTTCTAATTCCCATCAAGGTACTCCTCTGCTGTCAAGTCCTTGTTTAACATTTGTTAGACAGCAAGGATGACTTGATACCCGGAGAGCATCCAGGTGGGAATCCGAACATGCCACTGGAAGGAACCCCTAGTGTACCTGCAGCACATACACGTACCAAAGAGAAACCTGAGAAAGGACAAGAGGGCCCTTTTCCTGTAACCAAATATCTGCAAAATATCTTGTACATTATAGTCCTCTGAAGAAGTGGATGTCAACTACACAATATTATCCACTTTTTTGCGATACTCTTGATGGAAATAAAAATCGCTGAAATTGTTAAAATCTCTATTAATTTTAGTATTTCAGGGATAGATTTTAGTTATTTCAGCGATTTATATCTGCCAGTAGCACCACAAAGAAGTGAATATTTTTGTCCCCCCCCCCCCCCCCCCCTATTATTTCTCGGTGCCTCCCTAATATTTTTCGTAAGTCGGCGCCTATGACAATATACTTAATACACTTTGTGCACTTACATCACCAAAAGTCGCGATAGAAAGGTGAACTAATTTCCCTGCAGTTAATTTGATCACACTACTCGATCGGGAGATAATTAAGATCAGACCTCGAGCCGTTTTATATGGCAAACGATACCAATGAGTCATGTAAGCTATTTCCCCTACTTGTTTACACTATTAAATTATTTATTCCATAATATGGAAAAGGTATGATAAATGCATATATTTAATACTTTTAATAAAACTTAGACAAGATATAATACACACACACACACACACACACACACACATATAAGAATATATATGTTATACTACAAAATTTTTATTTCATAATTTGTTTACCTGTTCTGTTACCGTTTCGCCAATATAACAAAATATAAAAATGTTGAAAGTCATGGATATATATATAATCATCATACAAGCTATTGTCATTGCCGTCTCTACTGTGTTCCATCCCTGAAAGTGTATCATAATGTTTTATGATAATTTATGCAATTTATATATACAAATATTATTAAAAGTATCATTATTAAAAGTATTATTAAATGTTGAAAAATAATATTATATATAACAAACTGTTGAAAAATAATATAAGGATGCAATGCCACAGTATATCCAGTAACGACAGTAGATGAAGATCATAGTTCAAAATCGGAGAGCGCATGCAGGAAAAATTACTGTGTGGCGACGTTACTGGCTGTTCATGTCACAGCCATAGATTCACATTTACAATACTCGTGAGTATCATTTATTCTTGTTTAATATTTAATGAACATCACGAATGTAATAATTCTAATAATGATGATAATTTTATCTTACAAGAATAATCAAATCAATTCAATATATGATATTACTTTCTAATTCTGTTCACGATTGCATTTCAAGACTGAAAAATGTCGACTCGCAAAAAGAGTATGCAAAATGGATTTGTACATAAATTCTCACCGAAAGATTTACGCATTAAAATTTGCTTTGACTAAAAATAGGATTTTCATTTACTCGATTAAACTTATTTTCATCAGTCCAATCTCAAATTACAATTATTAACACTTATTTTCTGAAATATGATGCTTCTTTACATCAAAGATATGACGGTTATGTGATTCTCAAATTACAACATCGTGCTTGCTATCGCTTGGTTGTATTGTGGCAATTTTTTCTGTGCGATAATTATTTATTGTATGTGCATCTTTCATTTTGCAATTTATTTAAGTATAAAAAGTGATACAATGTCGATATGTCATAATTAAACATACACTTTTTTTTAATACTTTAGCGTACCGTAATGACATAATATCCGATCATACATAAGTTAAACGTACATCCTAGCAATTCCACAAAACAAATTTGATTTAAAAGTGCTTCCATTTGTGTCACGAAACTGTAAGTAACGTAAATTACGATCATATTTTACGTATATAAACTTTTTTGCAATTATATTATAATATACAAGTTTAAAACAGATGACAATTTTATTAATGTAAAATTAATTCCATATACAATTCGAATGGTATATGGAATTATCTTTAGATTAATAAAATTGTCATGTGTTTTAAGATTATATATTACCGTTATTTTGTGAGAGTTTAAAACATAACAAGCGTTTAAATTTTAATTCATATTTTATAATATATTATTGAGAGAAGAAAAAAGAGAATCAGATAAGATAAAATTTTGAATTGGCTTAAAGGGCAGAAACATTAAAATATAAAAGATTTTATTTTTTATACATCAAACAGAAATATCAACATTAATTTTATATCGGTATTACCTTAATACTCTCAGATGGTGCTCCACAATGATTGCCAATCGATGGTGTACCATATCTTGCTGCTTTCGATCGTCCAACTGGTCCAGCCATCTCATCAGTACATTCAACTGGCCACACGCGTGCATCGCAAACACCGCTGCAAGACCGCAGGCGCCGGCCGTGACGGAATTGACGACAATGCTCGAGAGGAGCTGCATAGTTAATGCAATTTCGCCCGCCGGGCTCTTCGTAATATCTACGAACTTACTGTACGTGGGACATGGTAATACTTGCACTGACACGCTCACGTTTCCGATATATACAAATGTCGGCATCATGCCCCGCAGCACCCCGTGCGAGAACACACCGCCGTGCATGAAAATTGCGCACAACCCAGCGACAAAACGACCAAATTTAGCATATTTGAGCATCACTTGACGATCTCCTATCTCTGTCACCATCCGCCAATCGGTCCTCACGTGCTCCACGCAACGATATATATCGCGTCTGCGAAACAGCAGTGAGAAATAATTCATGCCACCCATGCACCAGTGACTTAATGGACCAACAGCTTTTAATTTTTTCTGCACATCGGTCTCTTCGAACAGGATATTCAGAATACAAGGTATGACCGTGTAGGCTATCAACGAGTAGCAGATGATTATCAGTATTGTTGAAATCACCTTTTCTCTAACTGTTGTCGAGGCTGAACTTGGCCAAGCGCCCACCAGTTTTAGAAGCCAACGATTCAATTGAATACTGTAATCACTCGCGTCCCGTTGTGACATGACAGGGTCATTGACATTCATGATTGCTCACGGGACGCGCGAATGCTACTGAATCGACTTAAACGCACGTGCAATTGATAGAAAGTAGCGCCTGCGCCAGCGGGCAACCAGTAATAGTTAATAATAGGATATTTGTGCGTCTCGTCAGTCGATCGATACTCACGGAGTACGCTGCACGTGGTGTCTCATAAACGGTATCTCATAAAATAAATTAGCTATAACGTACATTCGCGAGGACCTAAATTTATTGCTTTTTAAATATGAAACTTTTGTATGTAATTCAAGTAGACATGTAAGCTTTATTATACAAATAAAATGTAAACTTTATTGTTGTGTTTCGATCGTTATCTTTCGAGAATATTAAACAGAAGAGAAATTATTTTCTTTTAGAAAAATACCCGCGTAATCTCAAGAAGACACTCTTTTTTATAATCTTATCTCCCCTGTAAAAAATATTTATTTTTTAAATATTAAAGTTAAGAATAATTTTGTATTTATTATATAAATATGGTTTACGTTTGATTACATCAACAAAAGTTGCGATTGATAATTGCAATAATCTCCACTATCTCCAGTGATATTCTCTCGATAATGTTATTCGATCTATTATCGAGCTATTATCAGAATGATAGACCCAGAGCATTTTAATGTGGTAATTCGTTCCAATTAGTAATATATGCCTTTTTACCAACATTTTTAATCTAACAAATTAATTAATGTGAATATTTATAAAATTTCTATATAAGCGTTTTTTATATTTTTAAAAATATAAAAAACAATACAAGTCACAAAGCTCAAATCATTAAACGATATTTTAAACATAAAATAATTAAATAGTCTAGTATTGTTAAGCATGAGATGTCGATTCGCGATCTGTGTAAATCGGGGGTCAACCTCACTTTCACCTACATACGCGATTTTTCGCATTTAAGGAGTCTAAAATGGCTCCACTTGGTGATTAAGACTTTCGATCAGCGCCATTTGAATCCAGTATTGAACTGTAGATTTCTCTTCAGATTGGGGGTTGAACTAATGTTGCCTAATGGCTAACAATCTAATTCCGAAAAAACTTAATTGTTACTGGAACTTCATTAGAGGCTCTATGCAGAAGTTAAGTAAGAAACTTATGTACATTCTTAAGCGTAATAATTCGGATGATTCTAAATAGTTATCATAAATTTCGAGGAATTACCTGTTACATGAGAATTTTGCCAATGTAACAAAATATAAAAATATTGAGCCATAGATACGTATACGATAATATACGATGTCATTCGCGCTCCATCAATATTACTCCAATTCTGGAAAATCGTAATTAGTATTAACATTTTCTAAATAAAGGCATTACAAAGTGCTGATAACATATATTCATATTTTTAGCTTACCATAATAGATTAATGTGCAATAAACTATATATGTTTTTTAGTCGTAAGAATCATAGTAAATTTCTATGGATATTTTTATAACTGTATACTTATTGTGACACAGACGATGACTATATTAAAGATCAAAACATTCGTTTTATCATTTCTTACTGAGTATCGATATATTTAGCATCGAAAATAAGCTCGACTAAAATAGCCTTCATTTATTTATTGTTTGAATTTATATCATTAGATCCTTATAGTTCGCTCCAATTTAATTCTTAATAATATTTATTTATTTATATTATTTTTTCGGGATATAGATATATACTATATATTATAGATGTTCTGTATTTTATTAATAATTTATACCATTATTTAAATATAATCTATAAAGTTATAGTGATAACTAGAAAATTTGCTAACGCTTTATACAAAATGGTGTTACTATTATTGTCTAAGAAGCTGTTATAGTCCGAAGCATGTTTAGATATATCATGGAGGTTTTCATCACCTAAAATATTTTGAACATACATTTGGCTGTAAAAAACATAACATATGTAACATACACTTGGTGTACTTACATCACCAAAAGTTGCGATAGAAAGATGAACTAGTTTCCCCGCAGTTAATTTGATCACACAACTCGATTGGGAGATAATTAAGATCAAACCTTGCGCCGTTTTATGTGGCAAACGATACCAATTCGTCATATAAACTGTCTCGCCTACTTGTTTACACTGTTAAATTATGTTTTTATAATATGAAAAATTGGCATATTTTTTTAAATTTATAAATCCTTGCGAATATTGCACTATAAATTTTGTAACTTTTATTTTACCTGTTCCGTAACAATTTCGCCAATATAACAGAATATAAAAATATTGAAAGTCATGGATATATATATAATCATATAAGCTACTGACGTTTTTTTTTCTATTACATTCCATCCCTGAAAATTATCGAATAATTTATTAATAATTTATCTTATCATTATTGTTTAGGATAATTAAATTTTATTGATAACATTCAAATAATAATGTAATATAACAATTTAATGTATATATTACCAGTAGAAAATCGTAGGCTAATATCTGAGAGTATATGTATGAAAAATTATACTAACAATATGGCGGCATAACTTTCTGATCAGGTCAAATTACGCGATCCGACTCACGCTTACGATAGAGGCTATATGTTCCAAAACTGACTGCCTGTACTGAAAGTCTATAGTGTATGTAACATAAACTGTCGCATTTTCAGTGTTGACAGTAAATTTGGAACACAGCCAGAAATGGTCACGTACAGAAGATAGATGTTGAGGAGCGGATCCGTGAGCGCTCACAGCTATTGGATGATCTAGAAGAATACATCAATAACAGCGAACGCTTATGGATCCGCTCCGCAACAGTTTATCTGCTGAACACAATTAATGATTCTTATTTTCATTATTATATTCAATAAATATTAAAGTGAAATTACAAATAAACTTATTATTAACTAAATCATTTATTTTACTTTTTTAGTATGTATTTAGTTTAAAAATAATAATAATTTATTTTTAGTATGCATTTAATAGTTTACTTTTGAAATTTGACGCTTCTTGACACTAAGGATGTGACAGTAATGGTCACGTCATATGACTTGCAAATATTAAAGGTGTCGCGACGCATACTCTATCGCTATTGATTATTTTATAATAATACTTCCTCTACGATAAATTATTTCTTGCATGTGCGTCTTTCATATTGTAATTTAAAAAGTGAAACGTCACACAATGCGATATTTCTTAATTACATATTCACCTTTTTAATTTTTTAGCATACCGTAATGACGTAATATCCGAGCATACATAAGTTAAATGTACATCCTAGCAATTCCACAAAACATATCTGATTTAAAAGTGCTTCCATCCGCGCAACGAAACTGAAAATTAAAGTGATATTTTTACATAATGTATAAACATTATTTGCTTGGAACTAATTTATATTATTGAAAGAAGAAAAAAATAGTGAGAAAATAAATTTTTAGATTAGCTTAAGAATCAAAAACAAGTATAAAAAATTGTATTTTTTATTCATTAAGTACATATCACACATAGGAATATCAACTAAAACTTCTTAAATTTATGTCGGTATTACCTCAACACTCTCAGATGGTGCTCCACAATGATCGCCAATCGATGTTGTACCGTGCCTTGCTGCTTTCGATCGTCCAACTGGTCCAACCATCTCATCAATACATTCAACTGGCCACACGCGTGCATCGCGAACACCGCTGCAAGACTGCAGGCGCCAACTGTGACGGAATTGACGACGATACTTGAGATGAGCTGCAGCGTTAACGCAATCTCGCCCGCTGGGCTCTGCGTGGTATCTACGAACTTACTGTATGAGGGACACGGTAACACATGCACCGATACGCTCACGTTCTCGATATATTCGAACGTCGGTGTCGTACCCTGGAGTACGCTATGGGAGAATACTCCACCATGCATGAAAATTGCACACAACCCGGCAACGAAACGGCCGACTTTAGCATATTTCAGCATCACCTGCCGGTCCCCGATCTCCGTCACCGTCCGCCAGTCGGTCCTCATGTGCTCCACGCAACGATGTATATCGCGGCTGCGAAACAGCAAGGAGAAATAGTTCATGCCGCCCATGCACCAGTGACTTAATGGACCAACAGCTCTTAATTTTTTCTGCACATCGGTCTCTTCGAATAGGATGTTCAGGATACAAGGTATGACCGTGTAGGCTATCAACGAGTAACAGATGATTATCAGTATTGTTGAAATCACCTTTTCTCTGACTGTTGTCGAAGCTGAACTTGGCCAGGCGCCCACCGGTTTCAGAAACCAACGATTCAACTGAGTACTGTAATCACTCGCGTCACGGTGTGACATAACAGGTTCACTGACATTCATGATTGCTCACGGAACGTGCGGATGCTACTGAATCGACTTAAACGCATCAACGCACGTGCAATTGATAGAAAGTGGCGCCTGCGCCAGCGGGCAACTTAGTAATACGATATTTGTACGTCTCGTCAATCGATCGATACTCATGGAATACGCTGCACGGGATGTCTCGTAATCGAACTGGCTGACATGTAGTCGCGAAAACATTAATTTACTGTTGTTCAAATATAAGACTTACATATATAATTCAGAGACAAGTTAGTAAACTTTATTATTAGATAATCATATTAAAGATCAAAACGTTTGTTTTGTCATTTTCTACATTGATTTTTTAAATATCGATATATTTAATAGCCAAAAAATATCTTAAGCTCAGCTCGAATATCTTTATTTGTATATTATTTGAATTTCTGTCTCATTACAGCTCTATAGTTTGTTTAATTGTTAACAACTTGTATTTATTATTATATTTTCAGGATTTAGAAGTGATCTAAACAGAAGATGTTTTGTATTTTATTAGTAATTTTTACAGTTATTCAAATATAAGTAAAGTTACGGTGGTAACTAGGAAATTTGTTAATGTTTTGTACAAAATGATAACTTTGTACAAAGTGTAACTATTATTGTCTAAGAAGCTGTCACAGTCCGAAGCATGTTTAGATATATCATAGAGGTTCTCATTACCTAAAACATTTTGAATATATATTTGGCTGTAAAAACGTAACGTATATCTTCGTGCACTCACATTACCAAAAGTTTCGATAGAAAGATGAATTAGTTTCCCTGCAGTTAATTTGATCACATTACTTGATCGGGAGATAATTAAGATCAGATCACGAGCCGTTTTATGTGGCAAATGATACCAATTAGTCATGTAAGCTGTTTCGCCTACTTGTTTACACTGTTAAATAATTCATTTTATGATATGAAAAATTGTGATAATTGCATATATATTTGGTTTATTTAATTTATGAATATTCTCGAATATTGCACTATAAAATTTTAATTTTGTATAAATTTATATTTTACCTGTTCTGTGACTGTTTCACCAATATAACAGAATATGAAAATGTTGAAAGCCATGGATAGATATATAATACAAGTTATCAAAATATCCATTGACATTTTTGTTTCTAATATACTCCATTTCTGAAAATTTTTGGATAATTTAAGACATATAATTATTAGTAAAATATTCATATTAATATAATATAAAATATAAACAATATAATATATATTATAGGACCGTATATGTGATAACACAAACTGTAGAAATTACAGCCTTAAACGGTCTAGCTAGATCTTAAATGCTTGTACGATTCTTGTGTGAATTTATGTACTACGTATATAGTCCTTAGAAACGCGTGCCGAAATGATTTTTCGGTCTTGAAACACCAACTCTACTAAACTACCGCAATAATATCACAAGTTAAACTGACTAGCAATTTAACAAATTTTTGATGCTTATTCGCATCTTCGAAACGATCTTAATAATGTTGAATAACATATTAGAATCTGTAAATAATTCATTCTTATTGTGAAAAATATTACCTCGGCCGGAAGTCAAACCCGTATCTCTTGCATTCCGTGCGAGCGTCCTAAGCCTTTAGACTACCGAGGCTTTAGTAATATTCTTCGCAATAATTGGCATATGAAGGAACAACGTCTCTTTAGGCGATGTAAATAAGCAATATAATATATTGTAAGACCGTATATGTGATAACACAAACTATAGAAATCAAAGCCTTAAATGGTCTAGCTAGATCTTAAATGCTCGTATGATTCTTGTATGAATTTAAATACTACGTATGTGTAGTCCTTAGAATCACGCGCCGATTTCTATAGTTTGTGTTATCATGTATACGGTCCTATAATATATTATATTGTTTATTTACATCGCTTAAAGAGATGTTATTCCTTTATATGCCAATTGTTGCGAAGAATATTAAGGCTTCGGTAGTCTAAAGGCTTAGGACGCTCGCACGGAATACAAGAGATCCAAGGTTCGACTCCCGGCCGAAGTAATATTTTTCGCAATAAGAATTAATTATTTACAGATTTTAATATGTTATTGAATATTATTAAGATCGTTTCGAAGATGCGAATAAGCATCAAAAATTTGTTAAATTGCTAGTCAATTTAACTCGTGATATTACTGCGGTAGTTTAGTAGAGTTAGCGTTTCAAGACTGAAAAATCATTTCTCGACGCGCGTTTCTAAGAACTACATACGTAGTATATAAATTCACACAAGAATCATACAAGCATTTAAAATCTAGCTAGACCGTTTAAGGCTTTGATTTCTATAGTTTATAAAATATAAATATTATTAAAAATTTATCAAATAAAAAAAAATGCAGTATCACAATATATTCATAGTGGTAGTGTACACGAAAACATATACTGTGTTTGTCGTCTACACTCTACACTGTCACTAAAATCAAACAGCGTATGTACGCAAAAATTATACTAACAATATAGTAGCATTACTTGCTGATCGCGTCATATCACGATCGCGATCCGATTCATGCTTACAACTTGATCATTATTTATCCTTGTTTAACATTTAGGCCCGTATTCAGAACGCACTTTTATCAATGAAAGCGCGCTTTTATCTCTAAAATTCTATAGTATGCGTACCGTAAATTATAGCATGTTAGCGCGCTAACATCGTTGTAAGCACGTTCTGAATACGGGCCTTAATAAATAGCGAGAATGAGATCATTATTACTCTTTATTTATTATATTTCATAAATAATAAAGCGAAATTACAAATAAACTTATTTTTAATTAAAACATGCAGTAATAATAAGTTATGTGATTCGGAAATCACAACATCAATGATATCAATGCTTTTTGTCGCTATTAGTTATACTATGGCAATGTTTTTTCCGCGATTGATTATTTTTTGCATGTGCGTCTTTTATATTGCAAGTTATTTAAAAATAAAAAGTCGCACAATGCGATATGTCTTAATTACATATTCACCTTTTTAATTTTTTAGCGTACCGTAATGACGTAATATCCCGCCATACATAAGTTAAATGTACAGCCTAGCAATTCCACAAAACAAATCTGATTCAAAAGTGCTTCCATCCGTGCCACGAAGCTGTAAGTTACAATTATATTTTTACACATAAAAACATATAAACATCATTTTTTGGTACAAAATTATATTACTGAGAGAAGGAACAAGAAGGTAAGATAAGATAAATGTTTGAACATAAAAATCAAAAAGAAACATTATAAGGGATTTTATTTTTTATACATCATTAAAGCAGGAATCAACTAAGGCTGCGTTTCACACATAATGTGCATAGGCCTGTTCTTCTTGGCTAAACTTCTGCACCATCTTTCTTCCTTTTCTCTCCAATGTAGAGATGAGCATCTTTCTTCCATTTCTCTCCATGAAGAAAGAAGAGGAAGGAAGAACTGGTTCAAAAGTTCAGCCAAAAAGAACAGGACTATGATGTATCATTTTATCCTTGTCTTTCGCCAAGTGTCAAACAAGGATACATCATGCACATTATGCGTGAAACAGAACACAGCCTATGTTTCATACATTTATGTTGGAATTACCTCAATACTCTCAGATGGTGCTCCACAATGATCGCCATTCGGTGCTGTACCGTCTTTTGCTGTTTTCGATCGTTCAACTGGTTCAGCCATCTCATTAGTACATTCAACTGGCCGCACGCGTGCATCGCAAACACCGCCGCGAGACTACAGGCGCCGACCGTGATGGAATTGACGACGATGCTCGAAATAATTTGCAGCGCTAATGCGATCTCGCCCGCTGGACTCTGCGTGGTATCTACGAATTTGCTGTATGAGGGACATAGTAACACACGCACCTTCACGCTCACGTTTCCGATACATTCGAACTTTGGCGTGGCACCTTGCAATACGGTGTGCGAAAAAACGCCACCATGCATGAAAATTGCGCATAGCCCGGCGACGAAACGGCCGACTTTGGCATACTTCAGCATCACTTGTCGGTCCCCGATCTCCGTCGTCGTCCGCCAATCAGTCCTCATGTGCTCCACGCAACGATGTATATCGCGACTGCGAAACAACAAGGAGAAATAATTTATGCCGCTTATGCACCAGTGATTTAACGGACCAACAGCTAGTAACTTTTTCTGCACATCGGTCTCTTCGAGCAGAATGTTCAGGATGCAAGGTATGACCGTATAGGCTATCAGAGCGTAGCAGATGATTATTAATATTGTTGCAACCACCTTTTCTCTTATTGTTGTCGAGGCTGTACTTGGCCAAGCGCCCACCGGCATTAAAAACCAACGATTCAACTGAATACTGTAATCGCTCGCGTCCCGATATGACGTGACTGATTCACTGACATCCATGATTACTCGCGAAACGCGCGGATGCTACTGAATCGACTTGAACACGCGTGCAGTTGTCAAGAAGTGGCGCCTGCGCTAACGAGTAACTTAGTAATAGGTAATGATGGATATTTGTGTGTCTCTTCAATCGATCGATACTTACGGAGTACGCTGCACGAGGGCTCTCGTAAATGAATTGACTGTGACATGCAGTCACGAAAACATTAATCATTATATTCAAATATGAAACTTTTATATATAATTCAGATAGGTTTGTAAATTGTAGTTATTACTATGTTTCGTTGTTTTTTAGAAATATTTATTAGTAAAGAAGGAATATTATTTTCTTCTAGACAAATACGCCTCAAATAGTCTCAAAGGGGTACTGTTTTTATAATCACTATTCTCTTGCAAGAGATATTTATCTGTTTAATTTATCTATTTAAGAATATTTTTTATTTTTTAAAACGCGACGATATTGTACGTGTGTTTAAAAAATGTCATATTAATATATATTTAACCCTATCTACATACACTGGGGTCTTCGGGCAACTTTCCAGGCTGGTCACCCCAGCGTAACTTTCTAAATCGAGATTATTTTTTCGCATTTCTAAATTTTTCTTTTTCTTTGAATTTATATATCTTGAAGATCCTTAATTCGATCAACTTTTACAAATTATGGGCTTGTTTCTTAA